TGGTACCAAAAAAAAGAAAAAAAAACATTTGTAGAATCAAATGACAAGTGAAGCACAACATATCAAAGCTATGGGACGTAATGAAAGCATTTCTAAGAGGGAAGTTTACAGCTATAAATGCACACATAAATAGAATAAAGTGATCCCGAATAAATTACCTAATGATGCTTCTCAAGGTCCTAGAAAGATAAGAACAATCCAAATCGGAAACTAATAGGAAGAAAGAAATGATAAAGATCAGAGTTGAAATTGCTGAAATTGAGAGCAAAAAACCACACACATGCACATACACACACAAAGGATCAGTGAATCAAAGAGTTGGTTTTTTGAAAGGATGGGACTTGGTTCTGGAAATGGGGGGAATGGGAAGAAGGTGGAGGGGAAGAAAAAGGATCAAGATGTGATATGTATATGCATCAATTCCCCCATGATGAATGTGTTTATTATATATGGTAAACATATACTATTAAAAAAAGAAAAAAAAGAAAGTAGAATAACTTGCCCAGGGTGGTATGGCTAATAAATAACACCTAATCCTATATTTTTTGCACTACACCTGAGTTAATGGGGTTGTTTTAAATGTACTGTATTCTGGAGAGAGAAAAATACAGCATATGCCACATCTATAAAAAGCTAAAAATAAAAACCTGTTGGTACAGTTCTCTAATTACTCTTTAACAACTTATTGGAACATTAGTCAAAATAAGTTTATTGCACTCAGCTTCAGGGTGAGAAGTGGGATAGCAGGTTGTATTAGCCACACTGTGGTTTATTTCACATGGCACCAATTAATTTCTGGCCCTGTTTTCATAAGTAATAGAAAAGGAAGTCAATTACTTGAATAATGCACCAAAATACATCCAGTTTTACATTTAAATATGTCAATGAACTGCGTTTAGAAACTGGATATTTTTGTGTATTTGTCTCAACTGACTTTTCAGGCATTAATGGCCAAAATTTTAAAAAAATTATTTTCTTTATTTTAAAAAGATTTTCACTTCTCACATTTTCTAAAAACAAAAGTAAAATATTTCTTGACATGTTAGGTCTAAATGAACCATTATTATACAAAAAGGATTATGGGCCGGGGATTTAGCTCAGTGGTTCTGCCGCCTGCCCTGCAAGCGCAAGGACCCAAGTTCGATCCCTGGTACCAAAAAAAAAAAAAGGATTATAAGTTCATTAAATAATCATAAAATGTTACAAAGTGAAATTTTCCTTCATTTCCGTAAGAACTTATCTATCATGGCAAAAATACCTTAGATGATATAAAAACTGCAATTAATGTTATTTATTCCCCAAACTGAATTATTGACTTGCACAGATCCATTATACTCCAACCTCAGTCTTCCTCATCACAGTTAGTAGAGGCAAATTCATTTTCCCGGAGTCTTAGAACACTTGGTTGTCCTTGATTCTTTTTCTAGAATCTCAAATCTATTCTTTCAGCAAATCATAATGGTTTCAAAATATATGTAGAATTCAACCATGTCTTAAGGTTCCTCCTATAATAGCCCTAGGGCAAGCTATCATTCTGCTTTGTCTGGAGTACTGCAATAAGACCTGACACACTACAGACTATTTCCATCCCTGTAGCAGAGTTACCATTCTAAAGCCTAAGTCCTATGATGTCAGTCCTCTTCCTATACCCAATTGCTTGGTTTAAAGATTACAATTTATTCATTCTGTGCTTTAATTCCATATCCCTTCTGATTTACAATTTTTCCCCCTCACAACTCTGATGGCCTTTGAACATACTATATAATGTAGGTATTTGTTTATTGTTAAACTCTTCCCATGGGAATGTGAGTTCAGGGATGATCCAGATTTGTCTCTTTTGAACGCTGTTACATTTGCAGCTCCTAGATATGTCAGGCTCACGGTAAGCTCATAGTAAATATTTGTTGAAAGGTAAAAGTTGTTTCTAGCAGAAGAGTATTAGATATTAGGTTTCATGGGGATGAGAGAAACTAAATTCTTATTGACCAGAGGGTTCAAAGGTTCTTTGAAACCCTGATATTTATCCTGTGATTCTCTTCCCATTCTCATGCTTAAAAACATGATTGTTTTCTCAGCTGCCAAGCACTAACTTTAAAAGATCCCTGAGTATTAAACCTGTAACCAGAGGGTCCTGAGGATGATCATGATTACAGTTTGATAAGCTACCTAGTGCTGTACTACAATTCTTAACAATTTTCTCATCATTGTGTAGCAGCTCTTCTTGCTTTGAAATACACGAATGTAATTGGAAGGCACAGGAAGCCAGCTCAATTATACATGGACAATTCTGAGGTTCCCTAACTTCTCTAGTGTATCAGTAGATTTGATTTTTTAACGTTGTTTTTTTTCTTTTGAAATGTGCAACATCAGTGGAATACCCAAGTTTGCCTAAAACAAGAGTTCTGTATATTCATGTAATTTTTGATAGCATAAATGCTAAAATTATTCTGTACAACATTAGAATCCATCATTTGGCCATTTTAAAGAAGTGTAGAATTTTTGACCTGTAAGGTTTTAGTTCTTTTGGTTTAATCATATCATTCCACAGACATCAAAACTGAAGCCTGTTGACCTGGTCAGGTACTATAGGGCTGAATACTCTTCAGGACAACTTACTCTAAAATAAAGTAAGGTACTCTTGAGATTGCAATAAAAAAAATAGTTCCCAATGCCATAAAATTAGTTGAATGTGGCAACACGTTATATGTGATTCTAAAAAATAATACAGTTCTACCCAGTTCATTCCATAACAATTAAAGCATTAAAAATCTAAGGTCAATACAACAAAGGATGAAATAACTGATAAATCAGAAAATAAAAGCTCTCCACAAGCATCCTAACAAACGAGAGTTGTGAATCATAAAAGAGTAAGAACTTGCAGGTCATTTGAAATGAAACATCTCCATGACATCTGCACATGAAGAAGCCCCTTATGGTTTCACGTTAGCCGTGGCTTCTGCTATTCTTTCAAGAACAGGCACTTCTATAACCTAATCTCACTTTTTAAAATGATGCTCATGGGCATTTTCACTTAGCTATGTGCACTTTATCCTGGAACTGAGTTTGTTTGAAGGTTATTATGCCAGAGGAATGTACAACGCGTCTACAGTACACTAACAATGCTTCATTTTCCTTTAGAGACTTTTTGTGGTGTGACTTGGCTTGGTCTCCTGATGTTTTCCTCACATACTTTAGAAATCCTTTTTTTTTTTCTGAGAGGCACTAGTCATCAAAGTCTTAACTTTCCAACAGCTTTGTTGTTTAGCTTTGTTATAATTAAGATACTCTGGTGTTGATAGTTTAGGTAGTTGATATTAATCTACTGCAAAAAGATATTTTGTATAAAATTAAATCAAAGATCTCTACCATTAGCACAATTCACAATTTCTTAAGAATGACTTTTTGAGCTCCTTGTACCAGTGCCATTACCCAGTTTCTTTTCTCCATGTGCCACTTTCACTAACTCCTGATTTTAGGAAAGTGAGAAAAACACGTGGGTTCTGTCTGGTAAGCTAAGTCTTGTGCCTTTCTATGTAGGTAAAACTCCCATGCAAAAACTACTATATAGGTAACATTAATTGAACATCATTTTAATTTTAAAAATCAGCTCGGAGTTGTATTTCTTTAACTGTGATAACTTTTCTCAACGGTTTTCTTGGCCATGCACTCAAAAAAGCTTTCCAACTATGGTATGTAGAACAGTCTTCCTTTTAAAGAAGTTATGACAATTTCTTTTACTTTCTCTTATATTGTACACTTTGCCTAGCATAAATTCGGCCAGGACTTATACATCATGCTGAGCTTTCACATCCTGAAAATACTTATTCTTTTGGAAATTTAAGTATTTGGCAAAAAGCGAAGTGTTGGGGCTGTTCAAGAGAAACAAATACAAAATTAACAGAACACTACTACAACCCACAGAGGAAATAATCAAATAGGTTGCTATTTGCAAAAACGTAAGCAGATAGGAGGGAGTACTGCAGATAGCATATATTCATAGGCAAGAAAATAATGGAAGCAATAGTGCTTGAAAAGACTTGGTAAAGGTTAAAAGTTGAATCTCTATTAAATACTTTATATTTGACATGGTGGGAGTGGATGTGAGCATGGATAATCAGTTTTCTTTCCTAAACAGCTAAAAAGAATGTTAAAAATATAAATAAGATCAAATGATTTATGATAAAGGCATTTGAAATCGTTGTCTGATGACTGTTATTATTTAAAGAACTGCGTCCATAACCATCAACTGTGAGAGGACAGGATGTACACTTCAATACTGGCGGTGTAAGATTTAAAAATGAGGAACAGGCCAAAATCTTCAGGAAAAATAAACATGGCTTGCCCATAAAGACTCCAGAAAGTTTTCAGTAACAAAAACATAGTTTTTAAATGCCTTCACTTAGTAAAACAAGGTGGTGGTGGTGGTGGTGGTGAACTGCAGATCTTATCTCACAACTACCCAAGGAGTTTATGCAAGGCAGGGTAGGGAATGGTGTGCGAGGATGGGGGTCGTTGGGGGCAACGGTTGCTTTGTAAGTGAGTCCACCGCCATGGGAACTCAATCAGACCCTGTCACAAGATGATAAAAAAAAAAAAAAAAAAAAAAAAAAAGTGAAAAAGGGCTGGGAATGTAGCTCAGTTTGAAGGCCCTGAGTTCACTCTCCAGTCCTGTGGGGGGTTGGGTGAGGGCGTGTGGACGAGTAACAGCAAAAAAAAAAAAAAAAGAAAGAAAGAAAAGCACAATCTGATTAACATTCCACATCACTCGATTCCTGAAGAGAGCCTTGCAAGGGCCAATCGGGGCCCTGGGGTTGAAAACAAACTTTCAGCGTGGGCCACCTGATCCTGAACCCTGCCAGGTGCCTCCTGCAAGACTAGAGCCCAGATCTACCCCACCTGGTCGCCCCCAGCAGCCCAGCTCCGCCCGCCGAGGGGCCCACGCCGCCTCCCGCGCACGACGGCCCGCCCCCGGAGCGTGGCAGAAGTAGCGCAGTCGAGAAGGAGGGCGCGCTGTAGCGCCCAGCGCGCATGCGCCCACGCCGCCGGGCCCGGGAACTCTGTCTCACTCGCTCCTGGGCGCGCTCCCGCCATCTTGTACCAGTCCTGCCGCGCCGCCCAGTCAGCTTTCCCTTTCTCCGACTCTGCCCCGCCCGCCCCTTCCAATCGTGTCCCGGGCCGCAGCAGCGGAAGTCGCGCCTTCTCCGCCCCTTCCTCGTCCACGCGGGACGCGCACCGTGCCTACAGGGTCCTTAGGCAGAGGTTGTCGGGGCGCGGGGGCGGGGAGCGGCGGGGCCGTCCGGCGGGTCGGGGCCACGCGCGGGAGGAAAGTTAGGGGCGTTCGCGACAGAGAGGCGCCGGCTGGGGAGAAGGCCCCTCGGGCATGACCTCTGGGGAACCCCTTAAGGTCCTTTGCCCGCTGTTTGGGTCTAAAATGGGCCCAGAATGCCAGGTTCAAGACCGCGGTTCTTGTGACACGATGCACATTCGCCACGCCCCCTGCTTGACATTACCTTTTCTTTTTTTTCCGGTACTGGGGATTGAACCCAGGGCCTTCGCACTGAATTACATCCTCCAGCCCTTTTTTATTTTTAAATTTTTAGACAGATCCTCGCAACGTTGCCCCTTGGGGGCCAGAACTCATGATCTTGCTTCAGTCTTCCTGAGTGCTGGGTCTGTGGGCGCACACCTTCACACCTCGCTTGTAATTATTTTTTATACCTATACTTTAGTTCAGAATGAATGATTCCTTTTTTTTTTTTTTCAATTAACAAGTAGGACCCCGGGCCTGACAGTGTGAGAGTGAAGTTAGAGGGATAGTGGAATGTTACGGGGCACCACGAGAGGATCCCAGACACAAGGTTATTCCTGTGCATGTGGATAAACTACCATGTCTCCGTGCGGTTAGCAGGAACTTAAACTTTAACCATGTCTTAAAAAAAAAGTGTTTATCTAGGAGGAGAACTGGGTCCTGGTATTTGTAAAGAGCAGACCTCTGCAAAGACTTAACTTGAAGAATGGACTGGTAGAATTTCTGATGAATGTTCCAGAAAGACTGAATTTGACCGTGAGGAACATCTTTTGATAGTATTTTGCAAAAACAGTAGTCTTCATCGTGGTATTGCGTTTCTTGTCTTGGGACATCCAGACAAAGTGTGTCTAAGTCTACAACCGTGCTTTCTATGGTGGAAATGTTAGGCACTCTGTGTGGGTCCCAGTATGGTAGCCACCAGGCCCAAGTGGCTTTTAAAATGTGGCAAGTGCCATTGAACTGAATTTCTAATTTCATTAATCTCAGTTTAAATGACCACATTTGGCTAGCTAGTGCATGAAATAGTATAGGTCTAAATTTTGAGAACCCTTCCAACTTTTGATTTGGTTGAGCTTTAAATCAGAGGCCAGCTCTTGGAACTTTGTTGCCTTAAAAATATCATAATTATATTCAAATAATGCCTTTTATTCAAATACTATAGTTCTGAGCATGGATCTGTTAGTATTTATTTACAGCTTGGCAAATTAAAGCAATACTTTCTTCTGACTACTAGGTTGTGCAGCTCATGCCAGATTTAGCTGAGGAGCCATCACAGTGCTAACTAGAATTTTCCTCAATCACTGTACTGTATTATGATCATGGATTTCCACTTTTTTCACTAAAAACCAACCAAAATGATGACTTTCCAGCTCTTTTATTCTTGAAGCTTTTTTTACTTGAAAAATAGTGCTTTTTTTGTTTTTAAACCTTTTGTATAATAATTTGGTGAGTTATAGTGGTAACCTTTGAGCACTGGGATAGTATTTTAGTAATTTTGTTATCAAACCTAAAGAAATATGTAAAATATGATTTTTTAATGTGGTTACTTTCTTTGAAATGTCTTTTTCAAGCGTTTATAATGTCGAGTTTGAAAACAGAGCTTTAAAACATATAAAAAATTTTTGTGATGATGGAAATTGAACCCAGGGCTCAAACATGCTAACCATGCCACTCAGCTACACCCCCAACCTTGGAAAGTAAAATTTTAGAAAAATATCTTACTTATGATTGGTGCTCTTAATTCTGGCATGGTATCTGTAAAATGGTGCCCTTGGTCTCAATGCTGAAGATAATCATTAGATTTGAAACAGTCACTTAAAGCTTGTAAGTTACATCAGAATGGGATGTCTGTGACTTAATTTTTCTGGGGCAGGTGTGGTTTAAAGGCTGACTGTCCCAGCATAATTATTAATACAGCCACTGTCACTGTCGAAATTATCCTAGTTGTGACCACATAATCACATAGTCATCATACTTTTAGGGTTATTGAAATTCATAGTTCAGAATTTTAGAAGGATTAATTATATTGCAGTGTTGGAAATACACTTGCTCTGAAACAGTGACAGAGTTACTGCTTTTGTTCTTAAATAGATAATGTGGAATGAGACTAGCAAGTGCCCTGGGTGTGTGGCAAACACTTGTAATCCCAACACTGTGGGAGCCTGAGAAAGGAGTGTGGCAAGTTTAAGCACAACCTGACTATTTAGGGAGACCTTGTCTAAAAAAAGGGGGACTGGAATGTAGCTCAGTGTGAAGGCCCTGGGTTCAGTCCCCACTATGTTCCACACACAAAGGACTGATTAGTTACTTATCCACTGAAGCCACTAATAATTTTGAGGTTTTACTTTGGATAGAAATCTTGGGCAGCTTGGTTTTGGGTTCTTTCTGGGGGAGGGAGGATCTTTTGGTGTAGGGGCTGCAAAGGCCCTGTCAGTCGAATTTGTGATTATTTGTGTTCAGATAATGTCTGTTTTATTTTATGGTGAGGTTGAATAGGGAAATCAATCTGAAATCTACTTGCTGTGTATTCGAGTTCTAGAGAATGATTTTACTTATAGTTCACTTCAGTAATAAATAATTCAGCCAAATGCATTATTGTATTAATTGAATTTATACTATAATGAAATATTTTATTGAGAGCCAGACACACTTGATTTGGTCCCTTACTCTGCTACTTATGTGATTTGGAGCAAATTATTTCATCTTTCTAAGAAGTGTCAGCTCCCTCACTTACAAAATTAAGATAGTAATAGCATCTGTTTCTGTGTTCATAAAGGTTCAGTGAGGTGACCCATAGATGCAGCTTCATAATGCTAGTTACTATTTCTTGAAGTTTATTGAAAATTAGAGCTTGAAGGTATTAGTGTTCTGAGGATGCAATGTGGAAAGAGCACTTAGTCAAATGCAAAACCTAGCTTTTGCCATTTCTGCTCTATTCTCTCTGTGATTTCAGTAATAGTATTTCACTTTTTTGAGCCTCAATTTCCTCATCAAAAACTGGAAATAGTATTTTTCTCACCAAGATTGTTGGTGAGAATCAAACAAGAATTACATTTATAAATAGTTGCTTTGTTTTACAAACATTTTTATATTGGTTTTATTTCACCTTGTGTACCTGCTACTTTCAGTAAAGACTGGCTCTAAATCTGCAAAAATTGTTGTTATGTTTTGGATTACAGTGCAGTGTGTAACAGCACCATTAGTAAAACCATTTTTTAAAAAACAAATAAAAAAATAATACTCTTAAATCCCAATAATAGTGCTTTACTGATGTGGTTACAATGTGTTTTCTACACAAAACAACTCCTAGTCCTGCTAAGGGTTTCCTTGGTCACTTGCTCTGTTCCATCCACTCTGATTCCTGTGTCTTAGTAATTTACCCTGACATGTCATCCCATCTTACAGGTCAGTGGTGGTGACCCTATGGCACACATGCCGCAAAGGGCTGTTTTTATCATTGAAAACTTTAAAAGGTCTGCCATCATTGCTATATGTGGTCCTAATGACTCTTTCTGGTATGGTCTGTTAGATGTTTCTGCACTCTGGTAGTACCTAGTAGTAGTTAATACTTGGATATTGAAAGTTAAAGATAATGAACATGAAAAAAGCATGTTATCTGGAAGATGGTATATTGTTACTGGAAAAATGCTGTATTCATTGAATTCACAGGGCAGTAAATTGAAAAAATTATGAGTTTATCTAAAAAATGCTTTATAAATATAAATTATTTAAAAAACTTGACACACAGTTTGCTATTTTAAATGGTATAGCAGATTTATATCTTTATGTTACCATTGTGTTTCTTTGAGAATATACAATGTGCTTAATGATAATCCTTTCTGCAGTGTTTTCAGAAAGCTGTAGTTTTGCTTGGATTCATTATCATCATTGTTGTTCACATGAACTGAGGGCTTTATATGTACCAGGTCCTGTCCTAAATGCTTCATGTACATTGTTTCATGTAACCGATGAGAGGAGTATTTTAAATTGCATTTTAAAGATGAGGGAACTAGGTAGAGAGGTGCCATGACTTGCCCAAGGTTACATGGTTCAGTGTCGGAGACTGTATTTGGACTCCAGAGCCCACTGTGGTTGGACATAGGCAGATATTTCACAACAAAGTTCACTTTGACAAACACATTGTGGAGGTCTTGTGAGTTAATTGTGGTAACCTTTTATTTGTATGTTCCTCATGTACAGTAGAAAGAACTCTGGACCAGGAGTCAGGGGGACCTCAGTTTTGGTCCCAGCTTGTATCACTAAATATGGTGTGTCCTTGGGCAGTTCAAGAAACCCCTCTGGACTGCAGTTTCCTCACCTGAAAAATGAGGGATTTGGATGAAATTAGTGAATGTCAAACTGTAGTCTGAAGTCTGCTCATGTGTTTTTGGTCCCCCTCCCACAGATTTGCGTCATTATGTTTTTGTTTGCTATAGTTGATTATCCATCTGTCTAAAATCTCCCTCCCTCCCTTCCTTCCTTCCTTCCTTCCTTCCTTCCTTCCTTCCTTCCTTCCCTCCTTCCCCTCTTCCCTCCCTTTCTCCCTCCCTCCCTTTCTCCCTCCCTTCCTCCCTCCCTCCTTCCTTCCTTTCTTTTTTCCTCCAGTACTGGGTATTGAACCCAGAGCCTTTGTACTGAGCTACATCTCCAGCCCTTTAAACATTAAAAAAAAAACAACAGGGTCTAGCTAAGTCACTCAGGTTGCACTCTAAATTGCCTCCCTCCCAGAGTCCTGGGATTACAGTTGTGTGCCACCACACCCATCTTGAAATTCAATTTTTGGGTAAGAGTACTGAATATGGAAGCACATGGAATAGAAACTTAGGTTAATGTGAGACTAAAGAAGCATAATCTATATTTGCGTATGTGCTTATTTCTGGTATTATAATGTATTTCTTTTTTGTTTGCCTTCATGTCATCATATCCCTGTGTTTAACCTGTAGTAGGTGCCCATTTAAGGGTAATGAATGAATAACTCAAAGCACAGGCGGTATTGCCTTTAAAGAAGATGCCAGGCTGTTATTGTAAGAGGAGGGGATTCAGGGAGGCCATAGTACCATTGGTAGAGGAGAGCAGAGTTGTTATTAAGTGCTGGCTTGTATTTCTCTGTGGATTAGGAAGATGCTGTTATTGGTAAGTAGGTGGGGCAGGGATTTGATGTGGGGCAGAAGTTTAGTATTAAACTACAATAATTAACATGCACTAAAATAATTAATATTAAGCCAATGTAAGTGGTAAGAGAAAGGAGGATTCTCTATAGTTATGTAGGAGGGGAGGCTTTCTTGGGGAGGATCAGCGTTGTCAGGCTCTTTTGGACCATTAGAGCAGCTACAGGTTGAGAGGTGTTACATTGTTTCAAGATACAACTGCAGGTAGAACCCTGGGAGTAAAAGAGCATGCTGTGGTTTGAAAGATGGTAAATGATTTAACTGCTGTGGAAAAAGGGTGGATTGATAAACAAGTTTAAAAACCAGGTTTTAAAAAACCTTCCAAAGTCCACTTGAAAGGGAGTATATGTTAACACTATATATTGGAATTAGCATTGTGTTATCCTAAACTAGTTGTAGAATTTTACAGATATTTTGGACTTTTAAATTTTTTTGCATTCTTAGTGATTGGCAATTTGGTATTATTTTTCACATCAGTAGAAATTTAGATTATGTTGTAACTTGAGTTTTTATACAGCAGTACTAAAATGCAGTGTGTAATAGTGTTGGCTGAACCATAATTACTTTTCTGCCTTTGGGGTTTATGAAAATGTTTTAAACATAAAATGTTTCATTAACTTACATTATGTGAGATATTCAGGTTATGAATGGTTAAAATTGAAACTGTGTAGATGCTCAATCATTACATAGGTCTGAATTAGTTTTCCTCAGCAGTGATACAGTAGAAGTGAAAATAAATTCCATTATCTTAATTAATAAGCTAATAGATTTCACAGTCCAGGTTTTGATACTGTTTTGAGGGTGCAAAAACTAGTAGTAAGATTCCCAATACTTTGAGGTCTTCTGAGTTTAGAGATATTTCTCATGTTATTTCTTTGGACATTTAGTCACCCAAAATGTGACCTCTATATGGAAACCCAGTGACATGTTCCTTGTGTGTTTTGTGTTTCACTTTTTGTGATGCATGACTTCACTACAGTTAGATTTAGGGGAGAGGTAGCAGTATTTTCTGAAGAAAGCAATACCCTTAACCTCCACTGCTTTAAATTAAAAGATACTTTTTCCTCTAGGATAGTATTTTACAGGTGTGACATAGTATTGGCTATTTATTGGTTTAGCGATCAAGTTTACATAGTATTAATCAGAAATGAACTTACTCCTTGGGTTCACATTTAAACTGTGGCATGTTGAAATAATCTAGGTCCCAATCTGCACATCTGAATTCATTTTGTAAAATATGGCAAACAGCTGCATTTGAATTGAAAGCTGAAACAACTGCAGGACATTAACCCATTGAGAAGATTACAGTAGGTTTTCAGTGCCATGTTAACTGTATTTATTAGAGAAAATTGACTTGAGTGCTTCTGCTTTTAACAGACTTTTTTTTTTAATGTCTAGAAGAAAGGAAATAAAGCATCGGAATGATAGGACTTTGATGTGTAAAGAAGTTAATGTCTAAAGAAGTTAATTATCTAAATCTTCAAACAACGTGGGTACGGGAAATAATTATTTTAAAGAATCTAATGAACTATCAGCTCATGATGTCAAGGCAAATGTTACTCACCTGTTTGATTTAAAAATTAAATATCTTGACTGTGAAAGGATGATCATGGTTATAATAGACTAGGATTGGGACCCTTTACCTCTTACCAATAAATACTCTTGATGTGAAACATTTGTGGCAGGGAGACAACTGAAAAAAAGAAAGCTTTTTTTTTTTTCTTGTGGTGCTGAGGATGGAACCCAGGGCCTTGTGCATGTTAGGAAAGTGCATTACCTTTGAGCTACATCCCAGCCCAGAGCAGTGATTTTAATATGAATTTGCTTTATTAAGTATCCTCTTCTAAAACAGGATAACTAGCTGGGTGTGGGGGCCTACTTCTGTATCTCAGCACTCTGGGAAGCTGAGGCAGGAGGATTGCAAGTCTGAACCCAGCCTGGGCAATTTAAGGAAGTTAGGGAGAGATACTGTCTCAAAATAAAAAAAGGGTTGGGGATGTAGGTCAGTGCAACATGTCTTTAATGTTTTCTTTAAGATTTCTTTGTCAGCCTCAGAGGTACATTTTCTGAGGTTCTTCAGAAATCTATACTCTTTTCTTTTGTGTTGTTTTTTTCAACATTTTGTCCTGATTCTGCTGGATTGCTGTTTAAGTTCTTGGTTTCCCATCTATTTTCCCCCAGCCCTGGATTGCTAGTATAATTTTTTTAGCCCAACTGTCAACAGGTAATTTTTTTTTTCTCATATCGCATTTGTGGAAAAAAGTAGTAACTTAAAAAGTTTAGGCTTAACGGAAGTGATGGTTTTAGAATTTTGGGTTTTAGACTTAACTTGAGTGGAAATATTTCCTTCTATTTCTGTGGTCTTGTGTTCTTTGTGTAGTGGTTTTAGCCTGGCCCTTAGGGCCCTCAGACCTGGTCAGAAAGGGTGTTGGAGTATTCAAGACCTTCTCTTGTTTCCTTCTTAGAAACTTTCTATCAGGGCCATCTCAGGGGGAGTGGTCGTGTTCCCTAGTCTCTATGGGGCTCAACGCTCCCATCTCAGCTGGTGATGAGTGACCCAAAATTAGGTTCTCTTTGGTTTTTTTTGGTACCGGGGATCAAACTCAGGTCCTTGTGCTAGGTTCTCTTTGTTAACCACTTAACCATTACCCATAATGGGCAGATTAGAGGTATATGTTATGAAGACAAGTTTGAGGTCAATGTGGAGAATGAATCGAGGTGGAAGGAGAGACCATATGGATGGGATTCATAGAGGGCCATAGCAGAACAAGAGGAAATGGGAATACAGAATTTTGGCTTCATACAAATTACAGAGTGTGGGACTCAGCAAAAGTCAGAGTGACTACTAAGTAGTTGTGATATCAACAGTGAAAAAGGAACTTATTTCGTAAGAGAGCTACTTAATTTGTTGAATTTCATTGAGGTCTTTTATTATTCAAGTTTTTAAAACTTGCATGATTGTGAAATAAAGGTGATCCAAATTTATATAAAAGCTTTTAGCAGATCAAGAAGGAACAACTTTTTTTCTTTCTTTGGTGGTTCTGGGGATTGAAGCCAGGGCCTCCATATTGAGCTGCAATTCCAGCTCTTTTTTTTTTTTTTTTTAAGATTTTTATATTTTGAGGCAGGGTCTCACTAAGTCACTCGTGGTTGGGTTTGAACTTTCCAATTTCCTGCCTCAGCCTCTCGGAGTGTGGGATTTAGAGGCATGCACCACCATGCCTGGCAAGAAGGGGAAATTCTTAAAGATCTTGATATTATTTCCATAGTTAACATTTATTGTGTGCTAGGTATTGTTCTGAATTTTTATATATGTGAACTCATTTAATTCTCACAACAACCCTCAGAGTGTTGTGACTGTTGTTCCCATTTTATAGATGAGAAAACAAGCATATAGAAATTAAGTATAGTAACTTGCCCAAAACTGACAAAGGAGCAGAGCTGGGAATGGAACCAAGGCAGTCTCAATCTGAAGCTGAGCACTGAGACCAGATTTCATCCCTGTTCTGAGTTTAGCCTCTCTTGACCCTCATCATCCACAGTAATCTAATAAAGGTTGTTTTCTTCCTTTACTGTGAGTTTGGGGATCACAAGAGGGCCTCCAGGCAGCAGCCCTTACCTATACCTTGTGTAATGGATTAGGACTTGCATGTGGACTAGGTAATCAGTGACAAGAATGGGTTCAGGAAATAAAGATCTTGATGGGGTGATCAGAATCAGATGGCCTTCATTTAGTGGTCAAAACCTCGCCCACCACTCTGATTATTTCCTCTGTAAACTGCCCCTGAATCATTTTCCTGGGCAAGATGTTCCTTAAGTCAGCATGGTATTAAAGTTTTGCTCTACTCTTGCCTTGCCTCCTGACCCAAGGGCAGACCCTAGCCTTTTGCACGGTAACAGCTCTGGAGCCTGCTCTCTTAACTGAGGTTGTAAATTCTCTCTACTGCTTAATCTTACCATTTGTTCTGTTCTTTAGAATCTGCAGAGTATTTTTATTTTTTAAATTTTTGTTTATTTGTGGTACTAGGGATTGACCCAAGGCCTTCACATTAAGCTATATTCCCAATTCCTTTATTCTTTGTTTTGAGACATTATCTCTCTAGATTGCTTAGGCTGAGCTAGAGTTTAACATTGCTCCTTCCTCAGCTGCTCAAGAGTTCTGGGATTATAGGCATGTGCCACAATGACTGGCTTAAAAGTATTTTTAAGAAAGATTATAATACTGCAAGGTTTACATGGGTGTATGAAATAATACCATTTATTGAGTACTTACTGTGTAGTAGTTGAGGCTCTAATTTCAAGATTTTATATTAATGTTATTTTGACTAATTTCTGGGTTTTTTTGGTCTTTTTTCCCTTGTGTTGGAGATTGAACCCAGAGCATTTGTGCTGAGTTACATTCCCAGCCCTTTTGAAAAATGTTTTATTTTGAGACAAGGCCTTGCTAAAATGCCCAGGCTGGGCTCAAATTTAGGATTTTTTTTTTTTTTTTTTCGTACCGGGAATTGAACTCGGAACCTTGTGCTTACGTGGCAGGCAGAGGAACCACTGAGCTAAATCCCAGCGAATTTAGGATTTTCTTATCTCAGTCTGTCATAGTGTTGGGATTACAGGTGTGTACTACCACACCCAGCAACTAATTCTTGTTTATTAATTCTTGTTTATTCTTGTTTAATGCCACATGCGTGAAATGAAATGACATACATGAGGACTGGCATCTAGTTTTCTCATTAAGCATCAGCTTAATTTTATGAAGGAAGGTCACATTTCAAATTGGAAAAGTTGTTTACCTATGAGATTATAGAATATAAAAATGCTTACTTCTGATACACTGATTGACTATGTGTTTTAGACTTTGGTTCTGATAGGGATGAGATTATGTTATAGTTTTGTAATTTTTTATCTTAGAACTGTAGAACTTTCATTAAATGAAGTCTTACTGGGAATCTTCATATATAAAATAGAAAAATCAGAGTTTTTTGGTGGTCTGGATGAAACTGGCCATTCATGTGTGCTTAGTGGTCACTACTAGCTAGCCCTGAAGAATCACTAATATTAAGGCTCCCTAGAACACATGTTTAAGACCACTGAGATTTAAAATATTTTAAATCAGTAGTTTAGTACATTTGTGTTGTAGATTAGGTATTGAATTATCATCCAAGAGTATTTGTTTGCTATTTTACACGACTAAGCAACTTTTTGCCATCATAATTTTGTTTCAGTAAAGACCATTAAGCAAATCAGATTCATACAAAACAGGAATTATCAGGAAGTAATTTATAATTGCTTCCATTTTCTCCTGCATTTATTTACAGTAAAGTGCATTTTTTAAGCTTCATTTCTCATTTTTATTTAGATGAATAATACTGCAGCTAGCCCAATGTCTACTGCCACTTCAAGTAGTGGAAGAAGTACGGGAAAGGCTATCAGCTTTGTGGCCGAGTTGCAAAGTATGATGTGAGTATATCTTTGATACTATGACTGTTGCTGTTTTAAATTTATTTACGTTGAAGAAAAACAATAGAAATAGAATTTATAGACTTAGCTTGGAAGTAATTTGTATTTTATCAGTAGAAATGAAGTGATCTCTGATAACATTTAAATAGCCATGTACAAAAGAGCCAAAATTGGATAAAAATGTTATAGTGGTGTACTGTACTTGAAAAATGAAATAACAGGATCATCTTTAAAAAAGGTAGAATGAATAATCATGTAAACACATTTGTTGTAATTGGTATTTGCCTGAATCTGTCATGGATTGTTTATTACTGTGTTTTCAATTTAAAATTTTGAGACTGATTATATTTTTAGATTGTTGAAATGTTTTCAGGCAAGTTTTCAACTTTTCTCAAATGTCTTAATTTTGTGAGCCTAAATTAGTTTGTAGTTTTGATAGTATTTGAAATCACTGCATTTCAGAATGTGGGAGAAAATTTGAAGCATTTAAAAAATACCTTTATTCAGAGATTGAAACTTTGACCTCTGATCTTTGACCCATGTTCTATAAAAAACTTGCTATAAAAAAAACTGTGGTATTTCCTTTTGTCATTTATACTTAGAAGAGGTTCTTAGCGGATTTGAAGAACATCAAGCCATTTAAAAAAAAAAAGGAAGAAATGGGGATCACAAGATGGAGGGAGGGAAGGTGTTGATAAAGAATTAAAATGTGTTATTATGTATTTATACTACCAACTCCACATAAGGAATGCAAACATTTTGTATTTCAAACATGTACTAATAAAAATTTTAAAAAGTAAATTAATGTTCAAAAAAGAAAAAATACTGAAGAAATTAAAACTAAATTCAGCACTTTCTTATTAAATACTTTTGCAAACATCTTCCCAACTAATGTACCTAAGCTGGATCCAGAATGCAAAAGTTATTGTTGGCTACAACTCTGGAAGAAATGTACATTTTCCTTCTATTTCAGACCTCATAGTAAGGCCACTCTTAGTAGTTAGCATTCATCATTTAGTCTGAAGTTATTTTTTTCCCCCTTATGAATTTCTTCACAGAAAGGGAAATAGGGCCAAAATTGGGGGAATACCTTTTAATTTACCAATAATTTCTGTTGGTATAAGATTTTTAAGTTTTCTGTTATATGAAATTAGAATCATTATATATTTGATCCTTTCTTATGTATTTATTTCAAGTGAGAAAGTATAGTTCCAATTTTAGTGTATGTGCTGCCGAAGCGAGCACAAGTGAGAAAGTATAGACTGAAGTTGCCAAGTTTATTTTGTGCTGTAGGAATTTCATTCCGTGAATCCTTACTTTACTGGTGCTGTTAAGTTCTTGTAAGCTTATTTGTATTGCTGTTTTCCAGCCCTCTACTGCTACTATCTTCTCATCCATTCACTATTAAGTTCCCTGCTGTCTAAATGACTAAAAATAGTGTCATTTCCAGGAATTGGTTTCACTTGAAAGGTGTCCAGTTGGCAATCACAACTGAAATTGTCATGATTTGCTATTAAATGTGGAACTAGCAGCCAGTCTGTTCTGTTAGGGCCTTTATAGACTTTGCCATATTTTAATATGAATAGTAAATACCATAGGTAAAAACACTCTCTAGGAAGTGCATCTGTAGATTTTAAATTGAGGATTAATAGTCATATGGTTATTAGTGGGCTGGGATGACAGTGGCTGTCCCTTACCTTATTACCTAGGATACATAATGAGCACATTTGCTGTATGGTCTTTATTGTAGCTCTTTGCATAATACTGGTTGGAAGGGTCCAGAAGTTTTTTAAGTTACTGAATTTAAGCAGTATGTAAATTAGAAAGTGAAATCATTTTAGTCTACGTTGCAAATAACAAATTTAAGAATTTTAATGCTTAAGTCTTTGTTGCTCTCTCTTCCCCCATATTTTATTACTCATTTTTCTATTTCTTGTCTTTTCATTTTTTACTTGGTCAGGTTTATAGACCTGGTGATGATGTCAAGTTTCACAGCTTGTTACCTTAGTAATTCTGTAACCAAATTTAAAAAAACAAAACAAAACTTATTTTTATACTGTAAGAATTCTTCAAAATGAAAATTTCATCATTATGTAAAATCCACAGATTGAAATTTGTTTTTCTTTTTTGTGGTACTGGGGATTGAACCCAGAGGTGCTTTACCATAGAACTACATCTCCAGACTCCTTTTTATTTTTTATGCTTTTAAATTTTGAGAAAGCATCTTGCTAAGTTGCTCAGGCTGGCCTCCCATTTGGTGATTCTCCTGCCTCAGCTACCTAAGTAGCTGGGATTGTGGGTGTGCACCACTGTGTCCAGTTGAAAAAGTTTTTAAAATTAGTTTTCTTTACATACAATAAAACTCACTCTTTTAATTGTATAGTTCTACAAGTTTTGAATTTTAAAAATCAGCATTTATTCAGCACTGATAGGATGAGATCTCTGTCTTCAAGAAGGCAGTAGGTAAGAGCACAGAGCCAACTGATTGTCATGAAATAGGACAAGAACTATTCCGTGCAGTACAGAGGGAGGGAGTGATGTTCTTCCTCAGGATCAGCCTCCACCTCTAGGTCTGTATTTTGACACTTTCTGGAATGTCCTTAGAGTGTGCTGTGAGTGCCTCAAGCACAGCTTGTTCAAAATTGAACTAATGTCTCAGTAAAGTTTGCTTCTTGGGAATTTTTGGGATAAATGGCAACATTTTATCCATTACTACACTAGACTGCAGCATTGTTGTATGTACAAAAGAGCTGTGAAAGAGTATGGCTCTTGCTTATTCTTACCTTTATCAGGCTTTAAGGGGCTCTGATGTGTACATGTCTGAATTATTTGTAAGGTATTAGTTTTTAAGCTGACATAGGCTTGCTTCAAATATTTCCCTGTGGAAGAAAGAAGCTCTGGAAGGTAGAAAGTGCTGACAGATACATTATAATTCCAAAGATGCTTCAGTAATACCAGAAATGGTACGGAATGCTGTGGAGTAGCCTGTGTACTGTACGCTGTTCTAAGTGCTTTCGTGTACCATTTCATGAATCCTAATTCAGCCCCAGGAGGATAGATGCTGCTGCTCCTCCCCATTTATAGATGGAGGAATCGAAACACAAAGGTTGAGTAACTCATCAAATATTACCCTGTTATCAGTATCCAAACCTGGATTAGAGTCAGGTAATCTGATGCCCGAATCTGTACTCCTAACACTTAAGCTAAACTACACATCAATCATTAACATCTTTAGTTTGATTGATAAAATTTAGTTTATAAACTTTTACCTATTTGTATGTAATATGCTGTAATGAAGTAGTAACGTGAAAGCTGAATAATTCAGTTACTGCATTATTCGTAAAGAGATCTGTTTTTTAAATAAGAAATATTAGATTAAATTGCGATTTTCATATTATAACATTTGTTTCAGTTTCCTATTCCTAACCACCAATTCAGCAAGGGCATATCAGTAACCAAGAGAATAATTTTTCATCAAAATCGTGTAGTTGTTATATATTCTTTATTAGATGTCATATTTGTGATATTTCATAATTTTGGGCATAAATGTGACCACATTGTTGTAGAATGTTTAATGTCTGTTTTTATATTTTATCACTATAAATAATACTTTATTTTAACACCTGATATTTGAATTCACTAAAATGTGTTTAAACATATTTTTTGTGAAATGCATCTGTTTGGGATATTTTAAGATAAACTCTTGTTTATAAGTATAATAATTATGGAGATTTTCAAATTGTAATGTAAATTTGATCAGTCTTTCCTGAAAGTGAAAACTTCTGTAAAACTAGACTGAGAGCATGAAAGTACTGTCATGAAAATACATTTTTTTTCAGAAATGAAATAGGAAATGTTTAAGCTTCTAGATCCAATTAAGTGCCTGTATTTAAAAAAGTGTCAAAATAAAATTTTGATTTTGTATTTGTCACTATCAATTCTCTCATAAAAAGTAGGCCTTTCATTTTAGTATAATTGTATAACTATGAGGGACTTTGCTCACTTTTAGAAATGAGTTTCTGAAATTCAGGGAGCTGGTCAGTGGAGTAATTCTGTGATGGAAATTCTTATACAGATCCTGATATGGGAGAAAAGTAGGTAAAAACTCACAGATCCTTCTTTCTAAACTTGGAGTTATGTTGCTGTTTATACACAAGAGAGCAAGAATTCCTGTTCCTAACTAATTTGATGGCAGAAGGTCCTCATTGATGTGCAGTTTTTAAATAGTCTTCATTTATCCTTCATGTGAATGTTGATATAATCCATTGTGTCCGTGGGTGCTTCCCTAGATGTTAATGAGGGGGGATGGAGCATATGGTTCAGGTTTTTACCATCTGAGCACCTCTGCATTCTGCAGTACCCATTTCAGATAGTGCACTTGTCTGCCTCACAAGGTTAATGTGAAGAGAAATGAGATTGCATTAAAGTATCTTGTAAATAAACTCTGTGCTGATAGTTATTGTCATCTTTTAAAAAGTAATTATGGTTAGCATACTGGTAAGTTTATAAAAAGTGTTTTAAGTACAGGAGGAAATATTTGCAATTTTATGAGTTCATAATTTTAGAGAAAAAAGGATTTGCTTATGTTACAACATGCTAATAGAACTTACTAAAGTGATAGAAATTTCCATTTCTGTGCTTTTGTTATTTATGCCGTGTGTACCATTTGAGCGTGTTCAATAAGTTATGTGACTGAGCAACTGAATTTTAAATTTTGTTTATTTAATTTTAATTAAAGCTAAGTAGGCATATGGAAAAAGTGGCTAATGTATTGAATATCACAGAAAAAATACAAAACATAAAACTAATGTATAGGATACTTTTCTGGGTTGTATGTATATTTTTATTGAAATAGAGAAAAATACATTTTATGTGTTATATAACCTATTGATATTTTTTTTTTTTTTTTATGTCTCATTTAGACAGTCATTGATTTCTTTTTTTTTCAAGTTGTCATTGTCCTACAATTCCTTAAAAGTTTGAGGATGTTAATTTTTAGC